TTCAAAAATTTTAACTTTATGTAGTGGTGTTGGGAATGTTAAACCAGAAAAATTATATTTTTTTTCGTGTTTTAAATAATTATCACCAACACGATATTTATTTTCTCCTGTAACATGTTTCGCTAGAATTGCCCACTTGAAGCATTGCATATCTAAGTTTTGAGGGTTAATCACAGCTTTTTTTTTTTCTATTGCGTCTGGCAGTTGTATATATGATGAACCGCCCATAGGTGTATATTTATATATACCCAGCATTAACCCGTCAATACATTGTAATGTGAAACCACTACCCTTGCTTGCATACTCGTCTTGCTCTTTCATTAATTTAGTAAATGCCTCTTCAACAATTTCCTGTACTCCAGTATCACAGAAAACCGCCTTAGCCGAAGTTTTAAAAGCACGGTTTTCCGACGAATATTCAACATTTGGTATATTATATGTCGCTTCAAGCTTTAAATTAAATTTGATCGGATTTTTACTTGCAATTGATTTTAGTAAATTAACTAGTTCGGATTTGATCGAATCGAGAAAGTATGTATAGTTTTGAATATTATTGGTGTTTTTTACGTAGTACCAGGTGATAGTATTGTTTGATGATGTAGATATTTTTGTAAACCCTGGAGACTTTACGAGATTCAGACGTATTTTTTTTGCCCTAACAGCGGATTTAGTGTTGGCGCTGGAAACACGTTTACCATTATCGAGTGTAGTGTATGAATCTTTAGAAAAAAAAAAAAAATTAACCTATGACGCGTTTATAAAAAGAAATAGCTAACCTTGAAAATCATGAAGTCCAAGATTCTCAACGGTGTCCAAAACTTCCAAGCATAAATCATCATTCACATTACTCCAAAATTCATCCTTCGTGTTATCTCGCATGGGTGATAAGCGATCATTTTGCCCGAGAAGATCGGCGGTGTCGAGAACCTCCCAGCATTCATTCGCGTTACTCGTCAATACATCCATCATGTTATCTCGCATGGGTGTTAAGCGAACATTTTGTTTATCTCGTGTAGTTGATACACGATCTTTACGAGCGGGCGATGTACCAGGTTGTAAGTCTGGTACAAAAACGTGTGGCGCGATCTGTACTATACCTGATGACAAAATTAAAATAAATATTTAAAGTGAATATAGAAAATAGGTAGGTACATACCATGAACATTTTTCAAATGTTTATTGAGGTTGGTCTTGTAACTGAACGTAATGCCACACCTAATACACGGTATACGAATACCCTCGTGCGTTTTTTCGTGTCTTGTCAGATTACGTCTCGCTGTAAATTCCGAAGCACATTTGCTGCATTTGAACAATTTCGAATGTGTTTTTCGGTGAGCGATCAGATTTGACTCGTATACGAATCCCAAAGAACATTGCTCGCATTTAAACATTTTAAAATAAACGGATAAGAAAAAATTAATACGTTATATAATAATTACGTACGTAGTATTAGCGTAGAGCGAACGAGATGTAGGTAATAGAGCACTATAACACCAACTGAGGACAGTAATGAATAGCGACTATTCATTCATTCAAAAATCCCTACCGCCGCCGCCGCCACCACTGATACCCGTCACGTGACAAAATACAGGGTCGTCGGATTGTTCTATATATCGGGTGTACTAATATCCGTATGGTATAGTGTTCAAACCATTACTAACCTACTGAATATGAGACAAGCACACGCGCGGAGTAGAGTAGACACTTGGAACGATATAGAGTGACTGAATTTATGTATGTATGTATGTATGTATGTATGTATGTATGTATGTATGTATGTATGTATGTATGTATGTATGTATGTATGTATGTATGTGTATAAGAGTTCATATGTAATTGAATGAATAAAGGACTGGGTGGCTGTGAGTGTGTGTGTGTGTGTGTGTGTGTGTGTGTATGCATGCTTGTATGTATGATAAGGTATATAATATATATGTTGAGCGTGTGTTCAGAATGAAAACTGATGAGTACCGTATGGTATCGTGTGTTTCATATTATAGTTTGTAAGTGTTTGGTCATATCATATTTATATGTATAAATATACCTATGTATCGTATATATTATGAAAATTATATAATATGTTCAGGAGTTTGTGATAGTGATGTTTATATAATTGTTTGGATATAATTTATGTTAGTATGTACCTATATATGTAAACTATATTATATTATAATATATTTGGGATACATTCCGAACATATAGTTCTTAAAGTTCATATAGTTCTCGATCATATAGTTCTTTATTTTACACAATATATTACAACAATCTGCTCTACTTATATATCTTAAGGAAATTGTAAATAATTTGTAAAATAAAAATACTTTTTTTAAATATCACGTTGTTTTTTTTATTATATATATATAAGTAATAAAATATCATATTACAATAAAATATTACATTAATGGTTCGCGTTTTTAAATAATTTACAGCAATATAAAAATTACATAATAAAATATTATATTATTGGTTCGCGTTTTTAAATACAAATTTTTGACAGCAATATAAAAATTACATATTACAATAAAATATTACATTCTTAACGAAAACTTAATCTCCGGGCTGCTTTTGCGGTTTCACGTGCTACGAATGCCCTCGTCCTCGGTCTGGCTACTTCAGACTAAAAAAATTTGTTTTCTCTAGTATAAAATAATATGTAAAAATAAAATCGTATTACCTCAATTTCGACCGAAGAAGCTAACCATCCCCTTGTCAATTGTTTGACTGCTTTAATTTTCAAATCTGCTACGAAACAACGACCAGTTAACTTAAGTTGTTTTTTCAATTCTTGGACATCGATACGGGATAAATAATATTCAACATTGCTTATTTTTGTATCTTTGGGTAACGGCATTTCCTTTCCAAGATACCTTGAAATATCACAGGACTGACGTAATGCACTAGGCCGTGTATATATATTTTTCATCTGAATAACTTCTTCCACGGCATCACTTAATTGTAAGATCCTTGAAACATTTGCTTTAGTTAGTTGTACATGTTGATCCTGTTGCAAACACTTTATCGAGAGAACGTGGTCACCGTTGTATTTAACAATTCCGGCCAATATAAGCTCCTTCAGCATTAAATGAGATGGTTGTGAAAAATTTATGTAGTTAAAAGCTATACGAATTAGTAATTTATAGACTTCAACACTCATTTTAACACACTGCGAGTTATTTGAGATGCATATAACGCAATTTAACAAAAAATCAGGATCTAATCCTATATTTATAAAAATATTGCTATCAATAAAGAATGTAGTACAATCGATCAGATTAGCTGGCGGCGATGGTGGTGTATATTTGTAAGTTTTCTTGTATATATTTTCCATATTTTCAATTGGACCAGCCATATTTATTTTACGCACTGAGAAATAAATATGATTTTAACACTGAATATGAGACAAGCACACGCGAAACACTTGGAACGATTATATAGAGTGACTGAATTTATGTTGTGTAGTTGTGTTCATAAACGAGCAAATTAAATATTAATTGGTGGGGGAGACATCGAAAAGTCCCTACAGGTTAATCGGGAGGGGGTAAATGGTATAGTGGTGGGGGAAATTATACATCGCGCATAGACGTCGGTTAAATGATATAGAATATACCTTCTCAAACAGATGCGAGTAGGCGGCCCAGTGGTACGGTTGTCGCTTATCATGCAAGTTAACCGGGTTCGAATCACGGCGGATAAATTTTTAAATTATTTTCCACGCGCGGTGGTCATAGGTGGTGGGGTGGCGGGGGTACATCGTTAACGTATGTGATATATGGTGGGTTCATCAACCGTCAATGTATAGGGATGAGCAGCAGTCGGTGTATTGGGATGAGCAGTCGGTGTATTGGGATGAGCAGACAGGTATAGTGGGATGAGCAGACGGGTATAGTGGGATGAGCAGACGGGTATAGTGGGATGAGCAGACGGGTATAGTGGGATGAGCAGACGGTGTAGTGGGATGAGCAGACGGGTATAGGAAATTGCCAGCAGGTTGAGGTTCCAGAACTCTCTTTTTTAACCTACTATAGGAAATTACCACACCACGTCTACCTCGTGAAATTAACTAAACATTACAATTTTAAAAAACAGATTTTTTGACCATAACTTACAAATTAAGTTTGAGCGTTTTTAATTGAAAGTACCATCAATTTAAGCATGCAAAACAAGCATTTTGAAGAAATAAATATGCAGTTGAATACAGTAATAAATAATATCAAATATAAAAAGCGGGTAAGTGGATGTCGCTTTGCTGTACAGTAGGTTTTTATTATTTATTATAGCCTTTAAGTTGAATAAATATTATAATATTAAAAATTGTTATTTGTTGCTACAGCTACGGTGATAAACATATGGTTAGAAATTAAAATCCCATTTTAAGCGGTTTTCCATAATTTGTCAGTAGATTTTCCCGTGGCATTAAATAACTATTGAGAAAATCGAATAATGACCTCCCTAAAGTACCTACCATATTGATCCAATTTGTAAAAAGATAAGGTACTATATTATGTGGAAATCGAAAAAAAATAAAAATAAACACTATTGTAAAACCACTAGCTTCCTCAGAATCTAAAATTAATATTTTAATTATTTAAAGTTAAGATTAGCGGAGTGGAATGGCACAGTGGAAGTACCTACCCTGTAAAATGTTAGTACACACTCCACTGTATGCCCTGCTCATATCAGCTTTAAATACTAAAAGGTAGGTTGCTAATTAACTTAGGTAACTACTCTACTCGTCCGAATTTTTATTTTTATAAATAGAAATAATTAATATATTTCTTATAATTATTTTTTAATCAGGTTGACAAAATAAGACAATTGCAGTTTCTTCTTATACCTACAGCTATAGGTATCTTATATTATTTTTTTACTTACCGATCAGAAATATTTGACCTTTCTGCTCGAGTTTTGGGGAAACTTATCCATCGACCGGCATACATCGTTAAAAAACTTTGAGTGACCCGTTGTATACAACGACTTACACTGGGCTGACTTATGGGAATTCAACAGTCGTGCCCAATACCTCGTTGATAAGAGCCGGAAGCCAAAAACTGAATTGTAGTTAGAACCTTTATTATAAAATACCTAACTAATATTTATTATATTTTACTATTTTGTCATTTACCTTTAAGAAGACATCACACAAATACGTATTTTCCAATGTTAAAAATGTGCCTATGTAAAGTATCAGAACACTCACTTAATTTTGGTTTAAGATTCAAAAATCACATTATAAAACTGAAAAAGTCAACCTTTTAAAGTTAACACTTAACCTTGTAGGGATTTTGCGTAATATTTCGTAAATAAGTTATAGTGACTGTAAATTATTTAAATTATTTAATTTTGATGTAGGTAGGATATTACCTATATATAAATATAATGAATATCCTAGTAGGTTGGTAATTAAAACCGCTAATAAAGTTCACTCAAAAATGTTGTTTAATCGATGTCTTCTTAAAAGGATGACTCGACCTCTTGGTTGTATTACTATACAATTGTTTTTGGTCAAAATGTATTTACGTTTAAAAAATAGTAATATGTTATATATACTTACTTGTATTTCTACACTTAAACTATTTTTTCGAGTTTTAGTTAAGACAGGCCGCAAATTTTCTATAATATCAAAAATCACATTCTTAGGTAAGCGATATAATTTTTTGAAATTAAAATCGCTCAAATCAAATGGATTATAACTGTCACGCAAAATTCTTTTGTGCAAAGTAAATCGTTGATGAGCCATTTGATTTACATATTCCTCAGCAATTAAAATGTGACCTAATAATGCCATAACCAATTTAAACGCAAAACGGAAAAAAATTAATAAACTAAAGCTTAACAAACGAAGAAAAGTGTTAACTGTATCAAATATGCAATGACAATCAAAACGAGAAAATAATTAATAAATAAACATATGATTTACAATTTTAGTCGACTAAATCACAATTGGCGCCCTCCAATAGGGGCCAAATGATTAGTGACTTTTAGTCACCACTTTCAGTCGGGCTAAAATATCATTTTTAGTCATAGATTCATAGAGAATCGCTAATTGTTCGTCATGACTAAATGTTTGACTGAATGATGAGTTTTAGTCACGGTAGTGACTAAATCGTATGACTAAAACTTTAGAGAATCGCCCTACTGGAGCAGCTGGCGGGTCGACATCCTTGCGACCTGGGCGGCGGTACGCGGCTCGTCCTGACCTCCGGACACCAACCCCAGCTGCTGGATCAGTGTGGCCACCTGCTGCCACTTCTCCTGCTGCTGTCGGTCGGCCATATTGTCTGTAAATGATGGTTAGTACAGACAAATGTTTATTTATTTTGGCCTGTGGGCGCGCGTTTTAGACACGACACATGTATTTTCCGCGGCGGTTGTTGGTCGGTTAGAAAGACTCCTTTACCGACCTGCTTCGCTAGCCTTACCGGTCCCCACCACTTTGGTGCGAACCCGGCATGAAAATCTTTATGTGCCTTAGATAGGTGGTGTGCTTTGTAGTAGACTACGTCGCCCTTGCCGAACTTCACCGGTGTGCCGGTGTTCGTGCTAGGCTTTACCACTACCTTTTTGCCTATAATACGTTTTTCCCGCTCTACCCTCTCTTCCTGTGATTTTTCGATATTTACCGGTGCAATTTTAGATAGCGCCCAATCTCCGGGTCTCTTGCATTCCCTGCCTAGGACAAGGACCGCGGGTGGGTAGCATGTCTGTTCGTTGCACCTGTTCCGTATCGAAAAAAGAATTGAGGGTAGTTTTGTGTCCCAAGATTTATGTTTGCCGTCGACTAGTTGTGCGCGCAAACCTTTTTTTAAATCTTGATTACGGCGTTCGACTGGGTTGGCCCTCGGGTGGTAGACTGGGGTCGTCCAACCCTGTGCCCCCCAGCGTTCTAGTGCGTTTATCATTTCGTTTGACACAAACTGTGGGCCGTTATCACTGAGACACACGCGGGGGTAACCGAAACGCGAAAAGAACTCTCGCTCTAACGTTTCGATTATTGTTTTTGAGGTTGCTGTTCCTAAGGGGTAAGCCTCGGTCCACCTACTAAAACAGTCGGTTGCTACCAGTATGTACGATTTTCCCTTACCGGAACGTGGGTATGGGCCCATTAAATCGACACTGATGACTTCCCATGGTTGCCGGGGGGTTCTTGGTTGCATTGGGTCGGTGGGACGTGAGTTTAGTGGTTTCGTGCACGCACATACGTGGCACGCACCTACATATGACCTGACGTCATTTTTTTGACCTTTCCAATAGTACCGTTGTCGAACCGCCCGGTACGTCTCTTTCCAACCCGGGTGGTTGGATAAGACGTGATCGTGACACCTCCAAATTACATGTTGTATTTTTGTTTTCGGTATCACGGCGGGTGTGTGGGGGCCTACGTTTATGCGTAAGAGACCGTCGGAGAAAACATATGTGTTTGTTCCCGATTTTGTGCTCCTAGTGTTTCGCGTTGGTCCGTCCCACTTATGACCGGCGACTATGTCGCGGATCGCGGCGTCTTCGGACTGCCACTTTCCGAGCGTCGACGCGGTGAGTGGTGTGTCGTCACTGTCGTGGTTATCGAACATGGAGAATATGCGATCCGACTCGGGGTCAACATTGGTTGTCGGCGTTACAGGTGCCCCTACCAATTTTTCCTCGAGTCGATCTTCGTCTACAGGTGTGCCCGGTGCCGGGTCGCGGGATAACAAATCGGGTGCTTCGTTTTGTATTCCCGGGACGTGTACCGTACTAAAATCTAAATTAGCTAGTTGTAGTGACCAACGTGTTAATTTTGAATTTTTGTCTTTAGCCCTGTGTAACCATGTCAGTGCCAAGTTGTCTGTTAGGAGTTCGAAACGTCGGGTTTCTAGGTATGGCCGAAATTTGTCCGTTGCCCAAATTACTGCTAGGCACTCGCGTTCTACCGCGGCGTACCTCGTCTGTGTCTCGCTAAACTTTTTGCTTGCGTAGGATATGATGCGTCTTTCCTCCGGTCTGTCACCCCGTTGGAAGAGTACCGCGCCAGCTCCTATTTCGCTTGCATCGGTTTGGAGACAAAACGTTTTGCTGTAATCGGGTGGGGACAATTTCGGCGATGTGACTAGCGCGTTTTTTATTGATTCGAACGCGCGTTGTTCTACATCTGTCCATTTCCACCGAACCCCCTGTTTTAATAAATTAGTGAGGGGTGCTATGGTATCCGCGTAATTATCTACGAACTGGTTGTACCAATTGCACACGCCCAGAAATTTACGTACGTCCCTAACTTTTTTGGGAACCGGAAAATTATCGATGCATACCAATTTTTCCGGTTGTTTTTGTATGCCCTCCGAGTCTACTATGTGCCCTAAAAATGAAATTTCGCGAAGACCGATTTTACATTTTTTTGTGTTGCACGTTAATCCGAATCTCTTGAGGCGCTCGAGAACTTTTTCTAGGTGGGCCTGGTGTTCGTACTCGTCCCTTGAGAATACTACAATATCATCTAGGTAAACTTGTACGAAATCATCCTGGTACCCCCTCATGACCTCGTTCATGAGTCTCACGAAAGTCATTGGACTATTTTTTAGACCGAAGGGGAGGACTCTGAACTGAAATAGACCTCTACGTGTCCGGAAAGCCGTGTATTTTCGCGCATTTTCGTGTAGTGGAACTTGCCAGTACCCCGACCTAAGGTCAAAAATGCTGAAAATTTTCGCGCCCCTCATTTGCCTAATCATTTTGTTGAGATCTGGCATAGGGTACGCGTCGGATTCCGTTACGTCGTTAAGCCGCCTGTAGTCGACACAGAGACGGAAAGTTCCGTCTTTTTTCTTTGCCAATACTACCGGTGCGGCCCACGGTGAGGTGCTAGGTTCTACGAGCCCCTGGAGTTCCATATCGCGCACCATATCATCGATAGCGGTTTGTTTTTGCTGTGGATACGGGTATGGTTTGAGCGCGATTGGGGACGGGTCTTTTAGCAAAATTTCGTGTTCAATTAGTTTGGTACGTCCTACTTTTTCGCTGAATACTACCGCGTATTTGTTTAAAATCTTGGTTAGTTTCGCGCGAGTTTCGGGGTCGTTTCCAAATTGTAATTGTGACAAGTCGGGACGAGTGGCGGGTGGTTGTGGTTTCCCTTTCCAGCATGTCGACGTACGAATTTGCCTACCCATGTGAATTGTGCATGCGGCGTAATCCCAAGAGACTTCATTGGTTACAAGAAAGTCGTGTCCTAGTAACGCGTCGCAATACAAATTGTCTAGGATGGTAGCTTCGAATTTTATATCGAGTGTACCTATCCTAGCTTCGAATGTGGAGGTGCCACTGGTTGTTGCAGTGTGACCGTCCGCCATCCGGACTGTGTTTGTTGGTCCGTGGGGAGGTGTTTTGCCGTATTTACGGGCTACTGTCGGGTTTATGTACGATTTTTGTGCCTGCGAATCTAATAGAGCTGTTACGAAGCCTGACGGAAATTCGAGCTCGACCGCGGGGGTCGGAATTTTGTCTGGGCGTGTTCGCGTATCATTATTAGTCGTAGTGCAATCGGTCGAGCTGGACAATTGGTTCTTAACCGCGACGGGAACTGTCTGGTCGTCGGTGTCAACCGCCATGACCATACTGTCAACGTCGGTTGCCTCGTTGCTCGCCTCTTGCTTTACGTGCGCAGACTGACCTAATGCGGGGGTAAGCGTGGTGTGTGTGCTTGTATCCCCGTCACCTGTGCAGGTGAACACCCATGTCTCTGTTGCCTTTGTCCCTACACCTGTGGCTGCCCCATGAGCCGGTTGTTGTTGAACACACGTGTCACCGGTGAGGTGAGTGTGTTCTGTGGTGGGGTGGTGTAGGTTGGGGGTCTGTGAACGGGTGCCGATTGGTGATGAGACGGAAAAAATTTTCGTAGTTGGTTTTTCTGTGTGTTGAATTACCGAACTACGCGCTTTTCGATTACGTGTTTTTTTTCCGTGTGTACTACCGATAGTGGTTGGTGATGGGTGGGGGGGTGGTGTTGAGTCGATGGGGGGGACTAGTCCCCGTCGACTCCCCCGCCGTTTCCCGACGTGGTCGGTTTGTGTGGGCACTTACTGTTCCAGTGGAGTTCCCCACAATACCTGCACGGCCCCGGTGGGTGATCATCTGTTGTTTTTTTAAAAAATTTTTTTTTGACCGGGGCGGCTGTTTGTGGGGTATCCGCCCGGTTTTTGGGTTTTGGGGCCCATTGTTGGGGGGTCGGTTTGGTGCTGTCCGTTACCGGGTCCAAAACGCCTGCGATGCGTCGTAGCTCGTTGAACGTCAATGGCCGTTGTAGACGGATGTGTGTTCGGAAAGTGTCGCGCGTTAATCCTGCTATAATACCTACCAATTCCGACTCGGATAGGCCGGTATTTACGCGGCGCGCTTGCTGGTTTTTAACTAGCACAAATTCCGTTAGAGATTGTCTAGACGTTTGTCGTGTTGACACGATGTCGGCGCGCAGTTGGGATTGGATTTCCGAATTGTTGTAATTTTCTAAAAACTCAACCCTAAATTCTTCCCAGGATAGGTCGAGTATTTTTATGGATGCGTACCATACACTCGCCGTTCCTTTTAACTGCGGCTCGACCGCCCTGCACCAACCCGAGGGGTGTATACGAGCTTGCACCAAAATCGACTCGGTATTATTAATGTACCGTACGGGGTCCTCGGCCCTTGTTCCTGTGAACTCGGGTAACGAAGCTCTTGCTGTGCGCAAGTCGTCGTACGGTATTAGTACCGAGCGTTCATGCGAGCGTGCTTCGTACGGCGCGTATTGTGACGCGCGTGTGGTGTGACCCGTATAGTCATTAGTTTCGCGCGCGAAGAACGGTCGGTTGTTCGCGTCGGCAATGTGGCTGGCGCTGTGTTGAGCGCCGCCGTCATTGAGCTCATATGACCTACCCGACTGGTGACTATCGTGTGTACGATTTGGTATCTGTACGGGTGACGGGTGGTTATCTAACCGCGGGGTTGCTACACTGTTTGGCGGTTGGGTGGTTGCCTGGCGCGATTCTGTGAAGAACCGCGTCATGCTCGCTTCCAACGCGCCTAAACGTGCCTCGAACGATGTTGAGTCGTTCGTTTGTGGCAACATTGATTTTAACTGATGTAGTTGTTTCGCCGCGGTTTCGAAAATGTTGGTTGTTAAAGGTTGTGCGGACTGGCCCTGCTGCATGGTCTACTGGAAGCCGCCGATTTCTGGCCGGTTGTCTGTGGGTTTTTGACTTGCTGTTGGGCTTGTCAAAATTCCCCCAGGCGGTTGTCCGAAAATCTGGCTGGCGTTCGTGTTTTCCAGCGTTGATGTCATGTGTTGTCGTTGTTCAGTACTGCCCTGGAATCCTACGGTTCCAGGCTGCACTGTTACGAACTTCACATTCTCGGGGACTAGTCCGCTTGCTCTAAGGTGCTCCTCTAGCCGGACGTACACATCCGACTTCGTCCCGGATGCGCTGAGGCCGCGGGCCGTGCACTCGCTACGTAGCTCCGCCGACGACAACTGCTGTAACGTTTTTTCCGACATTGTGTAAAATTGTTTACCGATGTGGTCGTTACGCTGTTGTATGGTCCAGGGGCGTCTTCAGGTCAATTCCATGGGGGGGGCGAAAAAATTATACTCTTAAACACCACTTTGATAAACAAAAGACTTAAACCCATATGTTAGGTGTAATATCGTACAAACAGATAAATGTATTCTTTTACTTTAGGTACCTAGGTACATATTATACAATTATAAAATAGGTAAATAATAATAATTCATATATGAGTAAATTATATAACAAACTCCAAAGCTCGTTTATTGGAAGCAGCAAAACGATCAATAATGTTGTCTATATTGATCGGTTCATTCCTATGAATGTTTAAAAGCGCTAATCCAGTCAGTCTCTCCTCATTCATTCGGCTTCTTAACCAACTTTTTAATCTAATAAACAATACACCAAAGCAATAATAAGCAAAAGCAGAAGCAGAAGTAATAGGCAAAAAATAATATTTAAGTTTGTAAATTAAATGCATTCATTAGTGATGATTGATTTACTGCAATCAATATTAAAGAATAGTAATGAAAGAGAAGTTAAGCTATTAGTATTTTTAAGCATAAGTAGAAATATATGTGAATATATTAAATACTTAATAAAAATAAAAATTGTGTGTTTAAAAAAAGTATATATAATTTAGTATAACTGACAAGTGTAATTGATACCTGCGAAGAGTTGAGAAGCTGCGTTCTGCAGTTGCTACACTAACTGGAAGAGTGCATAATATAAAAAGAATTTTTCTAATACAAGGGAAAACAATATCAGGACATTCTTCGATAGCATTGAATACATTGTTTGGAATTTGTAACCCTAAAATAAAAGCAATCTAATTAAATGTACTTTACATTTTCAATTTTGATTCTAAAAATATATCATTATACCTTTGCAAATTATTTGTTCCCACTTTGTTTTCCATAATTCCATCTCACCCTTGAGAGAATATGTATTGAAACTTATAAACGAGTAATGTTTCAGTAATGTTTCAACCAAAGTATTTTCAAGATCCTGAGAGATCTTTATGACATTAATTGGAACCAGTTGCATAAGTATGAAAATAGTTTTATTTTTTTCATTCAAGAACCGTGCTTTTAAATCTTCTATGACATTTTCAAGAATAGGAATAAACAGTACACGTCTATAATATTCTTCAGGACAAGTTGCAGGTGTGTTGGATCTTTGTGTTTGACGTATAGTGATTCTGGGTAATTTAATATCAATATCAAGATCAGTCATGACAGTCTTACTTTCTTCAAAAATATTATGAAATATATTTTCACAATTTGTACGTTTGTTCTCTATTATTGTTATGATGTCATTTATACAATTAAATGCATCAGCTATGTCAAATTCTACCTTTTGTAACAGTTTACTTGCTGCTGAAGTAATGGATAAAACATTAGAAAGTGTAAAAAGTGTAATAACAAACTCACAATTGCAAATACTATTGAGTAAACATTTGGCTTTAGAAGATGATATCTGTTCGTCCCATTCAGATATGCTTTCAAGACACATAATAATATTTTTTAAGTTTGATTGAAATTCAAAAATAGAATTGTGTCGTTCCACCCATCTAGTTTCACACAATGATGTTAATGATCTTTTACAGCCTTTTAATGTATTTTTTAACAAAAAATTTCTTTTTGACGATTGATTAAAAAACGACAAAACTTGTTGGATAGTACCCATAATATTTCTAACAAATTGCACGTTGGATGATTTGGATATGGATAAATTTAACGCATGATTGGAACATGGGCTATGGACAGCATTTTTACAACTTTTTTGAATTTGCTGTACTGCACCTCGCATTATAGAAATCATCACCGAACAACCATCAGTTCCAATACCAATGCAATTTTCTAAGTCCAACGTCATTTCTTTTAATTTATCAACAACAATATTACCTAATAATTCCCCTGATAATTTTGGCTCTATTATATTATGCCCAGGATCATCTTCAATATTTTCTAAACCAACATTTACATTTTTTTTTTCCATAAACATGATTATGGCAATCTATAAAGGAAATAAACCTTTCATAAACTTTATTTTCTGAGTTAACATTTCTTAAAATCAAACTCATTTGAGAAGTATGAGATATGTCAGTGGTTTCATCAAATATTATGCTATAATATTTGCTTACTTTTACATTCTCCAAAATATTAAATATAATTTCATCTTTGCAGCAACTAATAATGTTTTCTTGTGTGGTGTGAGATATATAAGTAGCTTTAGAAGTGGTGGTTTGTAGATGGTTTTCCAAAATCTTATCACCAGCAGAAATTCTAAATCTAAGGAGTTCTCGAAAATTACCTTAATTTACTACTGATGCATCATCATGATTTTTAAGGGATAGCAAGTCACCTTGATCACGATGTCCCCTAAGCGAAATATTTTGACGACCACAGAGTACAACTGTTTCAATGATGGGTTTTAATCTCAAACGATTTTCGGTTACTTGTTTCATTCTACCAGTATTTACTAAATTTATAATTTTATTTTCTGGATTTTTAAAACGAATTAAAAAGTCATTGCTTGTGGAGACTGCATTTAAATGGTATAAATGTTGGTTGTGTTTAGAGAGATCACCATCCTTACCTAGTATTTTAGCATATTTTGTTAATGGTACAGTAACAAGAGTTTTTAACGCTATATTTTTGTCTTTACCACCTTTAACAGCAAATAAAATACAATATTTACAAAAAACGCCACCGGCTTTTTTTGAATAAACAAGCCAATTGAACTTTTCAAAATGAGTTTTGTTGAGGAATCTTTTTTCATTCTTACCTTTTTTATTGTGTACACTATGTGGGTAAATAAAATCATTTCCAGGAATATTAGATAATTCCAGAAGTCTAACTTTATTGTAATCACTTAAACCTGTTCCATCTAAATAATCACCGAAATCTGTACTTAAATCCATATTTTCATTTGAAGTTGATGATACATTTTCAGCTGGTAAACTTAGTGAATTATCTTCGACTTCACTTGGAACCACTTCATTGAGATGTGTAATACTGTCATTATTTTTTTTTTGCTTATTTAACCACGATACTAGACAGGATCCACTCCTTTTATTATTCATTTTTATATATCTAAATCTTAAGTTTCAATACTTCAAAACTACAAAAGTTCAAAACACTTCGAAACAAATTAAACAGTAACGCACAATATAAATATTAAATAATATTATCACTAGGAAGTAGATAATTCAAATTTTAAATATCACATTAACGTAATATGATAACATAATTTAATCTTTCTATCACAGTTTCAGATGTAAATCAACGGTCTGCATAATCAGTGTAGCCAACAAAAATGTAAAAACAAATTGAAATATAAAAAAAATTATTAAACAATTTTTACTTAAAAATTATGGATATTATATGAAACAAAAACAGACAATTACACGTCTTACGGGGGGGGGGCGTTCGCCCCCTCGCCCCCCCCCCCTCAGGGACGCGCCTGGTATGGTCAGTGGATTGTGCTTGTTGCGCGGTGCGCACGGTTTTGAGGAGGCTTTTTGTTTTTTTCGATAAATTTCGCGCGCTAGCTACGATAATTTATATATTTATTATTTATGATTGTGTAACAGATCAGCTGACGACAGTGCCGCCGTTGCGTACCAAAAATAGTGGTACTGGGTCAACGACCTCGGTGGTGGCAGCTGTCGGCTGCGGCGGCTGAACCGGTTTTTGGCCTGCGCGCTCTGTTTTTATCGGCGATAATGTCGCGGTGCGAAAGGTAGGCGTTGCGGAAGGGTGGTGGTTGTTATATAACTACTTCCCAATCCGTATCACGGTTATGCACGGCTGCGCGGATTTCCCTGTTACGTACTAAAAATAATTGTTACGTAATGTTCTCTATGGGGTCCTAGCTAACCGGCAAACACACTCCTGGTCGAATAACTTATTACTAATTAAATATAAGCAGTTAATCCGAGGTATGTGTCAGCGTGAAAACTCTTACCTTGTCGCTGACTTGAGGAGATTCCTCTGCGGGGAGCCAATTTGACACGGCTACGGCGATGTTGATCGACGCAGTCAGCCGGTCGTCGGGTGTGGAGTGGAAGTAGGGTGACACAAACGACACTCGCACTTGAAATTAAGGTACACGTATTTTGGTGTGATATGGCCTGTGGCCGGTTTATTAAAACAATATTCAAAGTTTTGAAATCAATGTTAGATTAAGTAATCTGGTAGTCAAAGTCAACGGATGTCACATATAACGGTGAAACGGTCGCCGGCGTGGTTTTCGGATGACGAGCGGTATGTATCCGGTGCGGTGGTACGTAGCCGAGATGGAGCCGTTTCGACGGTTGACGTAAGAGAGAGACGCCGCCGGCGGCCAGTACTCGTTTTGCGCGACTTGCCTTCCCGTCCCACCTTGTGCCTTTTAGGCGCGGTGGGAGAGTTGGTGCTGCCGCGCTGTAGTCCGTGGTGGTGGTTGACAAAAGTGTAGACGGGTCGCTGCGGTACCTGTACTTTGTACTGGTGGCCGCTGCGTACCGCGTCAGTCCGTTCCACCCATATATTTGTTGTACTCTCCAATCATATGTGGTCTAGGAACTGATATTTTCTTTTTTTCTTTTTGAGAATATCTTTGCACGTAGCTTATAGGTTTCACACCAATACTGAAGAAGAAGAAGAAGAAGCTGCAGTTACAACCGAATTGTCCATCCACCGTGCATAAATTATACCGTCATTTTTTTCAATACTTGCACATTCACCTCTTTGTTAATAACTTTTTTCCTATTAGAGGGAAATCTTTACCAAGTCGATTTTCTCTAATAGTCCCAGTTCCAGAATAACCACGATCTCTCAAAAAACTTAATAGATTAGAACTGGTAAATAAGTTATCACAAAATACACGGAAAGGTAATTTTCTTTTTTCTGGAGGTAAGTTTTCTAAAAATATATTAGGGGGCCGTACATTTTAAAAAAAAATTTTCATAATTCGGTTTCCCATTTGGTAATTTTCCCTGATAAATATCAAAATTTATGAGATAGCCGTCAGCCGAATTGAGACACCACATTTTATAACCAAAGTGAATTGGCTTACCTCGAATAAATTGTTTACAGCTGTGTCGACCGAAATATTTGATCATCGACTCATCATAATTTATATTTTGAACGGGTATAAAATTTTCAATACAACGAGATTTAATTTTTTCCATAATATTTCTCAATTTCCAGGCTTTATCGTTTTCATTCAGATTATTATTACCTGTACAGTGTATAAATTTCATAATTTTAAAAAAACGATCTCTACGCATCGAATTAGAAACTAAAACATTCTGTACGTCCTGATCTTGCTCCCAATAATGTCGTTTTGATGGTACTTGATTATATCCGCTCAATAGTAGTATGCCAATAAAACATCTAATCTCATCACAAGTAATATTTTGATCAATACAATTTTTAAATAAATTGTAATTTCTAGTTTCGTCAACTAATAAATTAATAATTTCGTCTATAAAAAACAATTCAAATAATTCTACGGGCGTCATATTGGATAAATGGTTGTAGCTTGGAGTTGGAAAACTTTGTACTCTATCATCAAAATCGCCAGTAATCCATTCCGGAATTGGTTTTTGTCTGTTTCTTACCCATTTTTCGTTCTGTATGATAAACTTATCAATATCTGTTGATACAGAGGGACTTTTGTCAATTACTTTAGTTGGTGGTGGAGGATCGCGCAATGTATTAAAATCCCCGATTCTGTCATTATTTTCTAGCCGTATTTCAGCAGGTGCTAATAATTGTCGACCAGTCAAATTATCCATTGCTCCGGCTCCATCTTCGTCACCTGAATCTTCGTCAGTTAAAATATTTACTTCAGGGGGTTCAATGTATATTTCTTCAACCCGTGCCTGATACTCGTCATCAGCTTCAAATAAAACATCCAGAGCTTCTTGAAGAGTAAACCCATTACTATAAAAATTAAAATTATAATAATAAATTATAGAATAATTGTTACCGTAATTAAAGAAAAATAAAATGTGTACTTTGAATGAGTAAAAAAGTAAAAAAGTAAATGAGATGAATGATGATAATGATTTAACATGGAAATTAGTTCTATTCATTTTTTAGCAAATATTCTTCATCCACAGTACAGAGGCTTACAATTAATTGATGAACAGCATAATGCTAACCTAGTAACCTATGTCATCCTACTGATGAGAATGAAATTATATAATTTCAAACACAGTGTTTACCATTTAAATAGTATTTATTCAGTGATAATAAGTAATATATCTGCATTGACATGTTGTACATCATTAAGAATATCTATTATCCTGTTCTATAATTTTAACTGATGATTGATTGGTTATGGCTATTATTGACTCATTAATATTAATATATAATTATATTTATAGTATAGTTTTACACAAAACTAAAATATATACTTGTTTTAAACTTTGTTATTTCTTTTTAGTGTTAGTACGTAGAGTAAACATTTTTAAATTTTGTTGTTTTAAACTGCCAGAAGTAAAAAAAGAATTACCTATTGAAAAAATTTGTTTATGGTTTAAACTTGAAATAAAATGTATGTTCCTTCATTAAACACTATAGTCAACACATTAGTCAAATAATATAACACATTAGTCAAATCAGGCATTTTATTAAATTGAGCAGTATTTAAGAAATAAATACAATATTCCTGGAATAGCAATCCAAATATTTATTGATTTGTGTACAACTTGTAACGTAAAAAAATCAAAACTTTGTAAAGGTGTCGTTGTAAAACTAATATTATCCGCAGATTTTAATTCAAGAGGGCAAATTGACCTTATTGATTTCCAATCAACACCCGATGGAAATTTTAAATGGGTTATGATAGTTATCAGGATCACCCAACCAAATATTTATACCTTCGACCACTTACTTCAAAACGAGCTACCGACTTTGCACACGAACTTTTAAAATTTTTTTTGGAACAAGGAGCACCTCAAATAGTTAAAGTCTGATAATGGGCTAGAATTTATAGCGGAAATAATTGAAGAATTAGCAGAATTGTGGCCTGAATGTAAAATAGTACATTTGCGGCCACGGCACCCTCAGAGTCAGGGATCTGTAGAAAGATTAAATCAAGATGCTGAAAACATGTTACGAGCTTGGGTCATAGACAATAAACGTACCAAGTGGTCAATCGGAGTTTATTTTTTACAATAGCAAAAAAACATTTTACATCATCGAATTTTAGGTCGTTCGCCATTCGAGCCTTGTTTGGCACTGAACCGAAAGTAGGTTTTAGTTCTACAAACTTACCTTCCGAAATTATTCAAAAACTATCAAATGCAGAAGACTTTGAAAATATTTTACAAGACAATTCAGAACATAATGTTGACAATATACCTTCAAAGAAAAAAAAGTATTGCGACATAAACAATATCTGCAGTGTTTGTGAAAAATCAGGTAGTGAACTTCAATGTACCATATGTAAAAGAAATATTCATTCTGATAATTGCAGCTATTCTATAAATAATAGTAATGATATTGAAAATATTTGTCTACTATGTAATAATGAAAAACAGATAAAAGTTAACAGCATTGAATCTTACAAACGACAAACAATCGCAGCTAAAAAAATGGCAGAAAATAGTGAAAAACTATTTAAAGACCTAAATGTTGGTGATCAAATAGTATTAAGTGTTCCAAAAGTAGACCGAGGACCATGCGCGTAAACGGACAAGTCTAAATCTAAAATAATTTTTCGTGAGAAACTAGACAAGTCAATGTTTATAATATACCTTAATACCGTTTTATCGTGTTATGTGTTGTTTGGTTATTATTTGTTTTAATATTTTGATTTTATACAATAGTATTTTTATTATTAAATTGTTTTACTTACCTTCTAACTCAATAATTTTCGTTGTATTATTAACAATGTTGTCAAGAGCCAACAAGATTATGGCAATGTCTATACTCCGGCCCACGATAGAGTATTACCGTTTTGCGCATGCAGACTGACGGCGGAGACCGTTCCGAGGCCCCATTTCCCCCACTATTTCCACGTACGTTTTGCCAGCCCCCCCCCCCCCAAAGGAAAAACTGTAAACAAACTATACAGATATTTAGCACG